GACTACACATTTATTTATTATTTACTTGAAGCAAATGTTTCACTACCAACTCAGTGTTCGTATTGAAGTGCTCTAACAAAGAAGGAAGGCTTGGAAAAAAGCTGTTAGGCGAAGATATTTCTGTTAAACGCACTGAGGAATATATTCCGGAAGTAAAATGCTGACCTTTCCTGTGTCTTTGTGCACCGAGGCAACACGCTTCCGAAGTTACAAAGCAGGGATGCTAATCCCGGCTCTGGTATTTCGCTTGAGATTTGAGAACCGAGCACTGCATATACTCCTGGGAAAAGAGTAGCTTATAGTATTGGGTTTAGTTGAAATTTCGTACGCTGCTGCAGAGTACAAATTTTTCAACTTTTTTATAGTGAGAACAGCTCGAAGGCTGTTCGTGTGAGATTAAAGTCATTATATCATATACGTCTTTATTCATAAGGGTATTTATTTGGCTATCTATGTCATGGGGCCTTTGAAAACGGTCTTCTCTTGGGGACAAGGACGAGCTGGTTGATGGCGACCTACGGTTGCCTTACAAGAGATTCCACACATCATCAACACTGGAGTATCCGGGGATTTTTCAACTTGCGACGCTTACAGCAATTGGTAAACGAAGTGCGCCTGCACGCCAGGAATTCTCACGGTCAATACCATGAGAGTGGACCGTGTGGAGTGAGAGGGAAAAGCACAGTGATCACTTCTGATAACAGGCTCCATATAAGTTAACTACCTCCTGTACTATTGCGTTGCCGGGAGCAAAAGTTATAGGATGTGCGTCATCAGATTGACGGCGTAACAATGGGTTGCCCATTAGGTCCTGTGCTCGCGGATTTCTTCAGGTTGATAGTAGAAAGAAGCATTTCTACAGTAATAACCCAGGTGCCAAACCACAAACGAAATGTCGATGATATCTTGGCTTTCTGTTCGTCGGAGCAGCAGCTCACACATTTGGTAGAACGGCTCAATGGTGCTCATGCTAACTTACGGGTTACATGCAAAATAGAACACAACAATTGTCTATCGTACCTGGATATACTCATAACACGCAGGGAGGATGGATTGATTAAGAGGCCCATTTACCGAAAATCATCTTGGTCCGGGCAGCACTCGCACTTCACCAGCTTCACACAAGTGCGGTACAAACGGACACTTGTGAAGACTCTAGTTAGTTGTGCCGGACGAATTCGTTCGTCCGACTGTCCGGACGATGAGCTAGGGCTAATTACAGCAACACTAATGGCGAATGGCTACACTCGAAGATGTGTCGAGAAACACAGCCAACCGCGAGGGCCACAGGACTTGGTGCACACGGCAGTCAAGAAGAAAGTGTATATCGAGTTACCTTTCAAAGGTGACTTAGCCCCGCTGAAGAAAACTAAGCGTTCAATTTCGGCTACACAAGGAAGTTACTATGTTGCACAAGCTATCGTCATCAGCCGAACCCGAAATTTGCCCATACCTCCAACGAAGGAAGCTCAGCCCATTGGGGCCAACTCACACTGTGTATACCAATTTGTATGTGACTGTGGAAAAAGTTACATAGGCAGCACCAATAGAACACTGACTTCCAGAATAAAGGAACATGTGTCAAGATGGGTTCAACTGGAAGTTGTTCAGATTGCATACCCTCGTCAGATTCCATGTTCGCGCAGACTGTCGGCTTCGTCGATAGGCAAACACCTATTAGACTAAGGTCACCAATTAGAGCTGGGCTCAGCGTTTAAAGTTGTGTTACGTCACACGATTCCACGCTTCCTTCGGTTTGCTGAGGCTGTCGCTATAAGCCGGATTAAGCCAGCTTTGTGTGTTCAGAAACAATTATTTGTCAGCCTAAAGCTGCCTTGGACGTAGGTGTGTACTTCTGTCATTCGTTTTGCACCTTAAGCTTGTCTGGATGCACCCACTGTTAGCTATATCTATGCTTATCGGTTAGTGTTAATGATACTGTGGAGACAATACGGAATGCATGCACCTACCAGCATTCGTCTTCTTTCCGTGCTTTTCAAATTGTAATTTTATTAGTCATTTTCGTTCCTACTTTATCAAGAGAGCGCTAGCAATGCTGTTTCTTTCAAGCTAAGTTTACCTTTACACTTTCCTGTGTGTAACTTACCCTAAACTTCGTGAACTGGCATTGCTTGTCCAATTTTTATCATGCTCGTTTTGCTGTGCCTCGAAATATACGAGAGCGAATTTGTTAGTTATTTATTCCTTCTACAGGTTCATGCTTCTACTTACGGCACTTCGGTCAGAGGCAATCTTTTCAATGTCATAACACCAGTCAGCAGTGTTCCAGGACGTGGTGGGTCTTCGTCTGGCAAGACCGCTGACTATAAAAAGCTACATTTGTTCGCTTAAGAACACTGCAAAGTGGAGAACGTGACTCGCCAGTGAATAAGGTCGCAGCCCACCATTTCGCACTGGCGCAGACGTAAAGCTTTTAAATGCAACTTGCAACCGATTTCGATATAGAGAATGCTTTGATGGAGCACCGAACAGACCTAGCACTTGATGGACAACGCCTGCAGTGAAAGCTTGCTTGGGCTACTGTCCGCATGGATTACCATATCGCTAAATCACGCCGAACTTGCACATCGGCTTAATTCTGAAGGAGTTTTCCGCGCCTTTGCGCTATCATGTTTCTGGTGCGGACTAGTACCTGACAAAACGCACACCCATATGAACTACGAATATAACGGTTTCAACTTACATGGAAACAAAATGATTTATCATTCCAAAGCAGCTGTGCTTAGAGGCAAAGTTGACCGCGCCTTCACCTTTGTGACGTTTCACCGAGAATATGATATTCAGTTATTGGCTTATTTATACAAAAGTTACAAGTAAGGCGCCATCGACCTGGTGGGATGAATGAGCAAACAGAAGTCAATCCTAATTGCCATCTGAAGCAGTGAAATCCCCAACGCTTATACAATCCTTGCCTGCGGCATGTGCCCTGATGGAATCTAAGCAGCAAGCTCTGAAGCCTGATGGTGTATGGTGAAAAACAGAACAAGTGCAATGGACGTTATACACACGGCATCAATGGGCTTAGCAATTGTTAGCATGGTCACCAAAAGCTTCAACCGCATGGGTTTTGAGGTCCGCCTTTCAATTAAGCAGTACTTCGTCACCAGGTCTGGAACCTTGGCGATCGAAACAGGTGAGGTGAAATCCAGGTATAGAGATCACCGATTCTGTGCTCTCTGCGAATAATCACGCTTCAGTGAAGGCAGTCAAGTTTGGATGAGACTCTGGGCTAAGCAACTGAATCTGGTTCAGCTTATTCGCCACACTTAGCACATTGACGGATAACACACGCAGTCCCTTAAGTGGTTTACCGTCCGTGGTAACGAAAATGGCCATCCAAAGAGGTTTCGGTGTCTTCCAACTTATTTGTTAATCTATACTATGGACGTCTGTTCCATCAATTCCATCCCAAGTTGGTACCTCAGCTGCAGCCTTGTTCATTTTGCTTCGATTTTGCGGTGAAAGGACAAGAAATACGCAAACTGGTTAGGCTTTGAGACGCGCGATCCGTCGCAGGATGGGTCAGCATTCCTCTTCACCCCGACAAACGACTTTAAAGTATGAACCTGCGACGTTTCCTCTTGTTTTCTACTGTAATGGACGGTAGCTACAACCTTGGTCCCCGGTTCTTATTCAGCAAATATAACCACTCAATCAGTGTTTTTTCATCTAGCATTCTTACCGCGGGTGTTGCTTACTGCAATTCCGCCGCGTTCCTGATGATGAGACAACGGTCGCGAGCCGGTTGTGGGCGCTCAGGAACATGTGGCATGCTATGGAACGACGTTTCCTTGACCGTTTCCTTCCACTAGGGGAGCCTGTCGATAACCAGCTTTCTATGAGATTTAGATGATATATTAGATTTGACATACTCTACGCGCTAAGGTCTAACCTTGGCGCCAATTGCAGCTGCGCGGTTGCTAATTAGGATCGAGACAGCGCTTTCCCCAAAACCACAACATAAGATATGTAGGTGGGCTCAATGGGCAGAACCTGGGTAGATATAGTCGAATGAGTAGTTGACGGTGTACGTAGGCGTATGATCGAACCAGGGTTAGATGGTGATGGGTAGAACGGTGGTACAGATTAGTTGCGAACAGAGACGGGCTTCTTCGGAAAAGAAGAAACATGTCCCCACACAATACGCCAGGCGAAAAGTTGCCCGCTATTCCGTAAAGCACGACAGCTGTCGCAACGGAAAATAATGCCTGAGGTAAATCCATACACTATCACGTACCGATTGGGACAGATGCAGCATCAGGCAAGGTGGATCCAAATATCGCTTGCAGAATTTTGCACTGATTTTGAACGAGAGGTGACAAATTTCATAGAGACAAGAACATAGACGCCATAGAATATGATGCAAATATCCTACAAATGACATACGAAAATGATATGGATTTGCATTTCTGCAATTCGAATGCTACAGTGGAACGAAGCACCCAGGGGGCGCCGTTCTGATACAAGCAAGTAAAAGTTTAAGTATTGCGAAGGTAAGCTACCAAGAAAAAATGTTAAGCAAAATCTTTCGGAAATAATACCGTAAACAGCATGGGTTGGCAAATCATTTGAATATCAGTAATTGAACACCTACAAAGTTGAAGGCCCAACGGAAACCGGTGGTTAGGTTCAGAAAACGGTGTGTGTGATACAATGTACCGCAAAAAACAAAAATGGATATCTTACAACATGGCACAGCTTGCTTTACCTAGTGAGTACTGAAAGATGTATGTGTTTGTACCTACCCATCCGTAGAGCAGAAAAAACGTGGTGATTTAGTTTGGTAACGAACAATAACGGGGACAAGTGCTTTCGTGAGGACCAGAAATCCAAAACAAAGATGCGGCGTTCTTGGTCTACCATAAGAAAACTTAGATATTTCGGTATCTCTTGAGTTACTACATAAAAAATTTCTTTTTCCGCTTTGAAACTTCATTCGCTGCTGGTTATGATGACGTTACGAGTAAGGAACTGTTAACATAATTGACTGCGGATGAACCTACGCATGAATACTTATGAGTACCCACCGAAATTTTTACGAAACATCTTGCAAACGGGGTTGTAAATGCAGGATAAAATAGTATAACCGCACTCCAGTGCAGGCCTTACCCACCGTTTGACCTCACCCGTATTTATGGACCAAAAACCTGTGAGGCTGACGGCCGGTAATATTGTGGTGGTGGCTCCAGCAACGCAGCGCCAACAGGTATGGCTAAGAATGTTGTACGATACATCACGCAGATTTTTTGCAAAAGCTAAAGACTGGGCATATAGAAATCAGCGGGTATGTATGGCGCAATTGGAATGAGTGAACATAAACAAGCGTACATACCGCATTTTTTTAGATTGCTTTGGTACATGGGCGTGCGTGCCAGTTAACAAAAATATAATATGGCGATCAAGTATGCAGACCACATTGCATAAAACTTAGCAATACCGTATATGTGCTAGTCAAGTTAAATTCGTATGATATAATTATTGGCCGCTACCGTAACCTTACGTACGTAAACATGCTTTTCCCAACCAGCTGAAGCCCTGTGAATAGAAAACCAGTGACACCATAAATTTTTTTGGAAGTAAATAACGTTTACATTCTGGTTTTCAAATTCACTGATCTGCACAAAATAACTATTGAAATGAAGACCCTCATATCATCACCTTCAAAAGATGCAGAAACATTTAGATTCTTACTTCATAAGTTATTAATTCAGATACGCGAGAAAATCGATAACAACACTTATGATTATTATCTACCCGCTGTATTTTTCTAGTCCTCTTGTAAGTATTTCATCAGTCAGTACCCATGGCAGTTATCGAGAGATTAGTACTAAATCTACGCAACATCTCAGGACTGCGTTACTTCATTAGGAACAGAGTTTAGCAGGCTCGACCGCAGCTAACCACAAAGTTTTTGCTTACCTTAAAAGAGGCAGCAGGGCAAAACTCTCTATACCAGTGTTATTGCGAGCAGACGGGACCCGTGCACAAACTGACTATGAAAAGGTATCCATAGTTAGTGAAGAGTATACTGGGGTCCTTGCTCGGGAGACTTCTCTACCTCAGGTTGGGCTGTTCACAAGAGTCCCGGTGGATCCTTGCTTAGCTGAGTTTAACATAACGGAGGTTCAGGTCTTCCAGTTACTGCAAGACGTTGATCCCACAAACGCTTCCGGTCCTGGTTCCATTCATCCGAAGCTGTTGCATGAATTGGCCGCTGCTCTGAGTGATTCTCTCGCATGCGTGTTTTCATTATCGCTTAACAGCTGCGTCTTGCCTACGGAATGAAAGGAAGCAGTCATCTGTCCGATTTTTAAAGGCAGTGACAGCGCTCTGCTCGCGAACTACCGGCCTGTCGGTTTGACAAGCGTAGTAGACGTTGTTTGGAAAGCTGATAAGAGATTCGGTGGAGAACCACTTGAATAGATTTAACCTTCGCAGTGTTGCGCAACATGGATTCCGCAAATGAACTTCGTGTCAGACTAATCTACTTGTAGCTCGTAAAAGCAGGGCCGGAGCGGTAGACATTAGCTACGCTGTAAACGTGCTATTCGTGGGCTTCCCGAAAGCATTTGACACTGTTCCTCATCTTCGACTCTCATTAAAGTTGAGATCGTACGGTATATCTGGTCGCGCCCTTAAATTGATGTCTATTTTCCTGAAGGGAATGGAACTGTGCGTACGAGTGGGTCTTAGCCTTTCGCTCAGGCGTTGTCCTTAGTGGCGTCCCGCAAGGTTCGGTATTGTGGTTGTTGTTCGCGATTTATATAGATGACTTGCCGGAGGAGCTAGGAGTGTCATCACTAACGTTTGCTGACGACTTTAAGCTCTGAAATATTGTGGATATCCCGCAGGGTCCTGAGGAAATTCAGTGTGCCTTGGATAGGCTCTCGGAATGGTCTACTTTATGGTTGATGCTCATAAATAGGGCCCCGTTCTGTTCTCCGAATCGAGGCTGCTACTTCTCCTACTCGACATGTTGTCGGCGGTGTTGAAATCCTTGTTGTTACACAGAAGGTTGTTTAAGGTGTCGTCCATTCAGAAGCAGAATCAATGTATTAAGAGAAAAAGATTACAACCTGTGTCATCTCCAATATAATAAAAAAGGCGACTAATGAAGAATTTCGGTCTGTGTAAATTCACAAGATTGGTTCCTTAATAACACGTAAAAAGCAGGTCCAAACCGCAAACAGCACTATTCTTAGTGCCTCGATCTATCAAATTGATAATGTAATTGTCACATATACACGCGATGAGGAAAGTGCAAACATGATCTCCGCATCAAAACGCAGGCTTGCAAAATGGGTGTCAATTTTTGCGTTAAAAGCACTGTACGGTATCTGCAATAACAAGAGGACTGGGCAACGAGTTCCAGAAATTCATCAAGCGTCGGGCGAAAAACTTCATCACTTACTTACTGCATTAGATGGACCAATTCACAGGGAGAATCGGTCACATGTGCCGTCCATGAAACTGGTAGACTGCTCAGGGCATCAGCTGTGTGATTGCTGGTACCAAGAATATAAGTACTTTTATAAGTATGTGCACTCAAGGTCAGAGCCCACCTCTGCATTCTTGGTAAAGACATTTGTTGTATACCTTTTGTCTCGCCTAACAATGATATCAATGGATTTTCGTCTGTATGAAGTTCAAAATATTAAGAATCTTCCGTCAAACGATTTCTTGAAGCTCAGGCACCCGGCAGGGTTCCGCTGGAAGGCATACCACTGAGGAGACGCAGAAGGTCGAAACGCCGGCGTCTGGTGCTTTGCCAGACTAACCTAAGCCTGCTGATTGGGAGTGACGATGATGAATCAACTGAATTTTATCTTTTAGTTTCAACTTACATGTGAGCGCAGAACGTGATTCCTGCCCTGTCGACAAGCCCATGTCCAAGCAAGCGGTCAAGCCCAGTTCAACAGCTTTCATTTGGAGCCCTCTATCATCCTTCAGATTGACATGCCTCCAGGTACGCATACTGCTACAGGTTGGTCAACAGGCAGCACTTGCCCGAACATAAGAGTCCCTCTCGATGGATATCTGCTGCTTGTCGGAGACCTGCCTGCAAGACTGGAGCTCAGTGCTCACTCTGCGGTCCCCTTCAGGAGACAGACACCAGCAATATTTTCTCATTGCACTTATCCGGAGACGATGCAGCTTCGAGCACCGGCTAAGCCGGCGTTGGCATTACCCTGAGTCCTAGGGCTGAAGCTACTCTGTTTGATTGAATTCCAATCAGTAGCTGTTGTGTGCGGTCCGATTAGCTGGCTCGCTCAAAACTTCGAAGCCGCACGGGAATAACAGGTGTCTATTTGTCATCGCTGCTCATGCACCCACAAACTCTAGCGATCATTCGGTAAAGGACGACATCTATCGCCAACTGAAAGAGCTCCTTCGCCATAGAAGAAGCACAGACACTGTTGTGCTGGGTGTAGGTCTAAACGTTCAAGTTGGAAAATTATCCACTGATGAACTGCATCTAGCTGGCCAACATGATTTAGGCTCGCGTAATGATAACCGTGAGCGATTACTTCATTTGTGTGAAGATGCTTGCTTATTTCTTGCGAACACTAATTTCTCCATAACCTTTACCGGGAGGCGCACCAAGCGTCCCATCCGATTGGCAACGGAGAAATCGTCTCAGCCCTCGGTCAGGCAAGCCTATCAAGACGCACTGTATACCGAACTGTCTTGTTCTAATGACACACAACCTCAGTGGAATAGTATCCCGGCCACCATGCACGACGCAGGAGCCTCTGCTTGTGGCACTATCAATCGTCACCGCACCAGTCACTGGATATCCGAGAGGTCGGTGAACCTGTTGGAATCTAGAAGACACCTCCCGACCAGACGGGCTAGTAGGCGCGACCTAAAGTGGAGCTTACGTGCTGACAAGAAAGCCTGGTGGACCAGTCGGGCGCAAGAAATGGAGGAGGCAGGAGCAGTAGGCAATTACCGCAAGTTCTTCCAGCTGATACGCACCACTGGTCCCAGAAAACCAGGCATCAGTGAGACAATCAGAGACAGCGCGTGTGCGCTGGTAAGGAGTGCCGTATGGCTCGTTGGGCGGAACGATTTCAAGATCAGTTCAGCTGGCCCCCTGCTCCCGGACCTCTTCCTATACAAGTGATGCAGGACGAGCAATGAAGGGTTAGTTTAGAGCCTCCGTCGGAGCCCGAGATCCGAAACGCCATCATACCTCACAATCGTTTTCGTGCCGCTGGCCCGGATTCCCTCCCACCTGCACTATTTGGAGATGGAGGTGAGGTCCTCTGCAAAGCACTGACCTCCCTATTTGAACGCGCCTGGAATGAAGAGAGTGCCAGGCTGATTGGAGCGAATCGATTATAGCGGCAATATACAAAAAGGGCAGTCGCACTGACTTTTCTAACCACATGGGTATTAGCCGAACGCCAACGCTGACCAACGCCTGATTCTTGTTCGGCGCCCCACTGCAGAACGGGAATCTCGGATTAGGGAAGAGCAGGCTGGTTTCCGCCTAGGACGTGGCTGTATAGACCATATATTCACTTTGCGGCAGGTGCTAGAGCAGCGCCACGCATACCACAGACCGAAAATAGCTGTGTTCCTCGATTGCAAGAGTGCGTTCGATTCAGTCAATCGATGCATTCCGTTCAAAATACTGCGCGGAAAGGTGTTCCCACGAAATATGTGAACATGCTTCGTGCTCTATACTCGAACAGTACAGGCCGCGTCAGGGTCTACGGTGTCCTATCGGATAGCTTTCCGACCACAAGTTGCGTTCGTCAGGGTTGTCCGACTTCCCCATTTTTTTCAATTTCGTCGTGAATGCTATCATGGAGTGTTCCGTTGCAGAATCTCACGATGTGGGTGTTGAAGTGCTGTCTGGTGAAAGGTTAGTTGATCTTGATTATGCGGACGATATCGTCTTGCTTTTCGACGGCACAATCAACCCTGAATAGCCTGTCCAGAGTGGTCCCATTATTTGGTATGCACTTCGCACCTTCAAAGTGTAAAGTGTTGCTGCAGGACCACCAGCTACTTGATCCTTGCTAACGAGGAACTCGAGATGGTCGATCAACTCACCTATCCTGGCAGGTGCATCAGCAACGATGGGCGCATAGAAACTGAGGTCAGCTCACGCACTGCAAAAGCCAGAGCTACTTTCTTGAACCTGCGGCATCTTTGGCGACAGTAGGGAATTTCCCTCCGCCTGAAAGGCCGTGT